GTCTCTCCAAAGTGTAGTAAAAGGCTTACTGTAGTCAAATTTAATAATTTTTTATGCATTTTCACTGTATTTTCTATAGAATTTTCCAGAAAAAAAAATCCCAAACTTCGAAAAAAAAATTTCAGTCAAAAAAATTTTTTTGACTGAAAAAGTATAAAAATATGGACCAAAATCAATATTATCAATGTTATCGTATAGTTGTAGTCATTATTATTATCAATAGACATACATACATATATGACTATAATGGACCCAAAAAGTGCCATAATAAAAGTAATCACCCCCTTTTCCCCTTATCATATCACTATGTTTTGTGTACATTTTTAGTTAGGTTGATGCTCTTTTGGACTTTTTGGTCTTTTTAGGGTAAAAAAGGAGAAAATTTGAGGTATTTCATCGGAAAAATGAGATTTCTAGCACTATTTTTAGTCGAGTTATGATATTTTATAGTTTTGTGGGCGTGGTCTATTAAGCTCCGCCCCTTTTTCAGCACTACAGTTGAAGTAACGATCGAAAATGTAATAGATTGTCTTTCCAGAAGAGCAATAAGCCAAGAATCGAAAAAAATTGAAACTTTTTAAAAAAATTTTTTCAAAATTTTCAAAATTTGTTTTTTTCAAAAAAAAAATACCGAAAATAGCAAAAAATCGATACCAAATTCGAATTTCCCACAAAATTTCACTCTGAAACGCACTTTTCTGCGTCTCTAACTCTCAATTTAGAGGTTTTGGGTTACTGTAGCTCCGATTCTGTGCAAACAACCTTACGACAAAATGCACAAATCCCTCAAAAACGATTGTTGCGGGGGCAAAAAAGTGCGCGAAATTTGAATTTCGCGATTAGAATGTCTGAAATTCGAGAAATTTTGAAAAAATCAGAGTTAAAAAAAAAAAATTTTTTCAAAATTTTCCAAAAAAATTTTTTTGATTTTTGACATTTTTCGACATCAAATTGAGATTCCCCGCAAAATTTCACCTCAGAACCCCATTTTCTGCGTCTCTAGCTCTTAATTTAGAGTCTTTGGGTTACTGTAGCTTGGATTCTGTGCAAACACCAACCCCAAACACCGAACCATACGACAAAATGCACAAATCGCCTAAAAACCGGCTACATAGAGGTAAAAAAGTGCGGGAAATTCGAATTTCGCGGTTAGAATGTCTGAAATTCGAGAAATTTTGAGAAAATTAGAGTTTTTCCAAAAAAATTTTTTCTTCGAGGTTTTCCAGATTTAAAAAAAAACTGTTTTTTTTTGACAATTTTTGACATCAAATTCGAATTCCCCATCAAAAACCACCCTAGAAAGCACTTTTTGCGTCTCTAACTCTCAATTTTGAGTTTCTAGACTACGGTAGCACCGATTCTGTGCAAACACCGCACCGAAACACCGAACCATACGACAAAATGCACAAATCGCCTAAAAACCGGCTACATAGAGGTACAAAAGTGCGGGAAATTCGAATTTCGCGGATAAAATGTCTGAAAATCTCACTTTCCAGTCAAAAATCAACAAAAACTTCATTTCAACAATCAAAAATTTAACTCAAAAAACGTTCAATTTATCACCAATGGATTTGTGAATGATATCTGCCAGAATCTGGAAGTCTCTGCGTTTTTCAGCGTCGTTCTTCTGTTTCCGGATGAATTGTCCAATTTCGAACGAGGCAATGTCGAACATCAGCGGGTTACGGTCACGAGTGACCTGGAAACTCAATTTTAAAGGGATTTTGGATCATTTTTTGGTAAATTTTTGGCGGGAAATTTGAATTTTCGGGTTTTCAGAGCCATTTTTAGCCTTTTTAGAGCATTTCTCATCGACAAAAAGACCAAAATTCAATAGTTCTACTTTAAGGCCCGCCCATTTTTTGAAAGTGGGCGGAGCCTAGCCAAGTTTATGTCCATTTTGAAGCATTTTTCATGACGAATTCGAATTTGATTGTTTTTAGCGCTTTAAAATGAACCTGAACACGATTAGGCTCCGCCCACTTTGAATTTTCCCTCTGACACGCGACGCACGACCGCGACGCGCCTGAAAAATCACAGTGGGCGGAGCCTAGCCGTGTTTGGGCTCATTTTGAAGCGCAGAACATGCCAAATCTGAACTTGACTATAAAATTGAGTTAAAATGAGCCCAAAATCAGCTAGGCTCCGTCCAAAGTGGGCGGGGCTTAAAGTGGGCCAATTTTCCGCCAAAAAAGAGCACTTACCACATCATCGCGAATCGCACTAACGTATGCTCCTAACAATGAGCAATACTGTACATAGTGTTGCTCATAAATCGCCTGTTCCCTCTCCAAATGCTGCGCTTTGATCGCTTCGAACATCCGACGACACGTGGCAGTGGATACGGTCATCTGGCGGATGGTGTGTCGTTTGGGGGACCATAGGGCGTAGCGATACTCGATACTGTAAGATAAGGGATGAGCAATAATGCTAATATCGTCAAAAATGCCCAGAAATTGTCTGAAATCTGCTAGAAACACGGTATTTTAAGTATCCAGACTTTTAAAATATTAAGGCTGAGCAATGGACCAAAAATACGACCAAAATCACATAATTTGATGCCGAATTCAATTTCCAGACGCCGAGAGCTTCAAAATAAGCCTAAACACGCCTAGGCTCCGCCCACTTTGAGTTTTCCATGACACACGCGACGCACGACCGCGACGCGTCCGAAAATGGAAATGGGCGGAGCCTATGCATGGGGCTCATTTTGAAGCTCTGTACGTGTAAAATTCAAGATTTGGCTTTGAAAATGCTTCAAAATGAGTTCAAACACGCCTTGGCTCCGACCACTTTAAGCTCCGCCCACTTTTAGGGGGTCCTGTGGAAATGGGCGGAGCCTAGAAGTGTGTGGAGGTGCACTTTTGAGAGATAAAGTTGTCAAAATTGGATCTAGCACAAAGAATGCTTTGAAATGAGCCCAAACACGCCTAGGCTCCGCCCACTTTGAAATTTCCCTGCGGCACGCGACGCACGACCGCGACGCGCTGGAATAATTAAAGTGGGCGGAGCCTAGGCAATATGATGCTCATTTTGAAGCCCAGAACATGCCAGACTCAAATCTGACGTTGAAATAGAGTCAAAAACTCGGCTAGGCTCCGCCCACTCAAAGGGGTTCCTTGAAAAATGGGTGTGGCTCAAAGTTTGGCCTGTAACTTTGCTCATTCCTAAGCTACAGTAACCCAAATAGGCTCATTTTGTAGTTCTCGAGTTCTTCTATCATATGCTGGCTAAGTCGAAGCAAAAATATTGATCCTAAAAGGAGCTAAGGACTCATTTTCAGAGTTTATTTGAAATAGGGCTTCATGAGCTATTTTTGCCTCTTTTAGGTTCATTGCTCATCCTGAATCATTTATATTCATTTTAGGCTTTTTTCCAGTCACTATGGACCATTTTCAGGTCACTTTTAGGCTATTTTCAGCCATTTTCAGCGTGAAAAATTGCCAATTTCTTCCACAATGACCACGTGGAGAGCACCCCCCAAAAAAGTACAGTATTTTCCCCATAGCTCTCCAAAACTCGTCTCTGTTCCTCTAGAATATTTCTGGAAACTTCTGGAAGCACAACTACTAATGTCCCAACAACAACAACCAATCGGTGGTTCGGCTCGTGCGGCTGTGACCAATGCTCAGCTGGTGGCCGGTGCTCAGCGAGCCGTCGCCGCCAGATCGCCACGTCCCGCGTTGGATCGTCGGGTGACACCCGCTGATGGTATCATGTTGGCTCAGGTGAGCAATTAAGGATGAGCAATACGCTTGAAATAGCTCAAAAATGGCTCGGAATCCGTTGAAATTAGTAGAAATCGCTTAACAAATAGCTAGAAATCGTCTAGAATGGGCTTAAGATCAAGATGGACCAATAAATAGGTCCAAAATCAGCTTGAAACAGCCAGAAATGGCTGAAAAGAGCAGGCCGAAGCGATTTTAAGCCTTTTTTTTCAGAATTTCGACGTCAAGATTGACAATTTTAATCTCAAAAATGCTCATTTTTTTTTTGGAAATTTTTGAGCTCAAAAATGTTCCAAAATACTATTTTTCAGTCCTAAAAAACTCGGAAAACGGAGACCGTGCTTTGAATAGGGCGTTTTTGAACTGAATCTAAGTGTTTTTGGATGATTTCCAGCCTATTTTAGACGATATTTGGCCCTTTTTAAGCCATTTTAAGCCAAATTTGGGCCATTTTCAGTCTAATTTAGACTTTGTTAAGCCTATTTTGGACCATTTTTAAGCTTATTTTGGACCATTTTAAGTCTATTTTGGACCATTTTTAATCTATTTCAAACCATTTTTAGCTTATTTTGAACCATTTTTAGCCAAATTTGGACCATTTTCAGCCTAATTTAGACTATTTTAAAGCCTATTTTGGACCATTTTTAGCCCATTTAAGACCATTTTCAGCCTAATTTAGACTATTTTAAGTCTGTTTTTGACCATTTTTAGCTTATTTTGGACCATTTTAAGTCTATTTTGGACCATTTTTAATCTATTTCAAACCATTTTTAGCTTATTTTGAACCATTTTCAGCCAAATTTGGACCATTTTCAGCCTAATTTAGACTATTTCAAATCTATTTTGGACCATTTTTAGCCCATTTAAGACCATTTTCAGCCTAATTTAGACTATGTTCAGCCTATTTTAGACCATTCCCAACCAAATTTTCAGCCAAAAATCCCCCAATTTTTCAGTCCGACATGCACAATTTCCTTGCCCAATCGCACGGAACCATCTTCGACATGGCAATGCAATACGCCGAATCAGTGGGCATTCAACGTGATCAAGTATCGTATCTCGTATTCGCGCTCGCCGCATTCTATTTGGTTTTCGGTGGTGCCGCCGTCTGCTATGCAATTTGATTGGATTCGGATATCCGACGTATGCCTCTGTTAAGGTACAGTAATCCCCAGCTTTTCGAGGGCAAAAATGGTGTCTCTTTTAGACATTAAAATCGTCAAAATCGAGTCTGGGTTACTGTAGATTGCCATTTCAAGCCAAAGACAAGCCATTTTGAGCCGAAAACTGGTCATTTAGAGGCTGAGGCTTAACATGGCCGAATTCAGCATTTTCAACCTATCTACAGTAATCCCTAATCAAAAATTCGCGATTTTTGGCTTAAAATGACCCTAAAAAAGCTAGTTTTTGACACGAAATTCCGTTATCAAGCGTATGCATCGCGTTAAGGTACAGTAATCCCAACTTTTTAGGTCTTTTTGGGGCTTTTTCGAGGTCAAAATTGGTCATTTCGGACTACAAAAGTGCTGAAAATTGTGAAAAATCGCTTGGAAATGGTCATTTTGGCTCTAAAAAGGCTCTAAAATCGGCAGAAACTCATCAGGATTACTGTAGATAGGGTCAAAAGTGTGATTTTGAGCCGAAAACTGGTCATTTTAAGGCTGAAATTGAAGCTTAACATGACCGAATTCATAATTTTCGACCGTATCTACAGTAATCCTGGACCAAATTTCTAGATTTTTGGCCCAAAATGACTCCTGGGGGGGGGGGGGGTTACTGTAGATCCATTGAAAACGACAAAAATCGGCAATTTTGGACTCGAAATTGACCTAAAAACATCGAAAAGTCACAGAAATCAATCCAGAATTTAATTCCAACCGGTCAGGTACAGTAATCCCTGTGGAAATGACGAAATTCGTATCTACAGTCATCCTAGGCCAATTTTTCTGATTTTTGGCTCAAAATGACCCCTAAATGCTCCATATTGAGCTCAGTACCTCAATTTTGAAGTTTGAGGGCTATTTTAAGCCAAAAATCATGAAATTTGGGTTAGGATTACTGTAGATCGGTCAATTCCATTTTTGACCGTATCTACAGTAATCCTGAACCAAACTTCCTGATTTTTCGCTCAAAATGACTTCTGGGGTTACTGTAGATCCATTGAAAACGACAAAAATCGGCAATTTTGGGCTCGAAATTGACCTAAAAACGTCGAAAATTTACAGAATTCAAGCCAGAACCGTATCTACAGTAATCCTAGTCCAAATTTCACGATTTTTGGCTCAAAATGACCCCCAAAAGCTCCATTTTCAGCCTAACAACCCTCAAGCCATTTTGAAATCGAAATGCACTGTAAAGTCGGTTCTACAGTAATCCTAGCCCAATTTTCTTGATTCTTGGCTTAAAATATCTCAAAATTGCTTGATTTTGAGAGCTCCGGAAATATACAATAATCCTAAATTTTGCGATTTTTGCCTAAAAATGTCATTTTTAACATATCTACAGTAATCCTAGTCCAAATTTTACGATTTTCGGATTAAAATGACTCTTTTGACCTAATCTACAGTACTCCTAATCCAATTTTCTCGATTCTAGGCTCAAAATGACCCAAAAACTCCGAATTTTTCGATTTTTGGCTCAAAAAGACCCGAAGGCTCCAAATGTCACGGTTTTTGGCTCAAACTCACTATATTGACCCTATCTACAGTAATCTTGGGCCAAAATTCACGATTTTTGGCTTAAAATGACTATGAGAACCTGATAATTCTATCAAAACAGCTCAAACTTCATTTCGATCCCAGGATTACTGTATATAGGTCAAAATTACTATTTTTAACATATCTACAGTATTCCTAGACCATTTTGTTTGATTTTTGGCTCAAAATGACTCTTTTGACCCAATCTACAGTAATCCTGATCCAAAAATTTCGATTCTTGACTTAAAATGACTCTTTTGACCCAATCTACAGTAATCCTGATCCAAAAATTTCGATTCTTGACTTAAAATGACTCTTTTGACCCAATCTACAGTAATCCTGATCCAAAAATTTCGATTCTTGACTTAAAATGACTCTTTTGACCCAATCTACAGTAATCCTGATCCAAAAATTTCGATTCTTGACTTAAAATGACTCTTTTGACCCAATCTACAGTAATCCTGATCCAAAAATTTCGATTCTTGACTTAAAATGACTCTTTTGACCCAATCTACAGTAATCCTGATCCAAAAATTTCGATTCTTGACTTAAAATGACTCTTTTGACCCAATCTACAGTAATCCTGATCCAAAAATTTCGATTCTTGACTTAAAATGACTCTTTTGACCCAATCTACAGTAATCCTGATCCAAAAATTTCGATTCTTGACTTAAAATGACTCTTTTGACCCAATCTACAGTAATCCTGATCCAAAAATTTCGATTCTTGACTTAAAATGACTCTTTTGACCCAATCTACAGTAATCCTGATCCAAAAATTTCGATTCTTGACTTAAAATGACTCTTTTGACCCAATCTACAGTAATCCTGATCCAAAAATTTCGATTCTTGACTTAAAATGACGCCAAAACGCTGCATTTTCAGCCTAACAACCCTAAAATTCATCTAGACAGCTAAACTCTCATTTCCAGGCGATCCGCACGAAGGACACTGACGACGACACGGTGTGGCTGATCTACTGGACGTGCTTCGCCGTGCTCTACCTCGTTGACTTTTTCTCGGAGGCGATTCTCTCGTTTTTCCCGTTATATTACATTCTGAAGGCGTGCTTCCTGGTGTATTTGTATCTGCCACAGACGCAAGGGTCCGTCATGTTCTACGAGACGATTGTCGATCCGTTGGTCGTCTTCTTGGACACCAACATTGATAAGTACTATTATAAGAAGAACCAATGAGGATGAGCAATCGGATGTGGGACACCAGGAAGAATCGAATCAGTTGAGCTACACTCTCTCTCTCACTACTCGTCTAAATAAACGACTTTTTTGTACTATTTTCTTTTTTTGTTATTTTAGAGTGATTTTGAGCCAAAAATCAGAAAAATTGGCCTACGATTACTGTAGATACGAATTTCGTCATTTTCACAGGGATTACTGTACCTGACCGGTTGGAATTAAATTCTGGATTGAATCCTGTGACTTTTCGACGTTTTTAGGTCAATTTCGAGTCTAAAATTGCCGATTTTTGTCGTTTTCAATGGATCTACAGTAACCCCCCAGGGGTGATTTTGAGCCAAAATCCGATGAATTTGGCTCAGGATTACTGTAGATACGGTCAAATGAGTCATTTTGAGCCAAAAATTGACGATAAATTTCGACTAGGATTACTGTGGAAAGGGTGGAAAACAACGAAATGTGGAGCTTCTACCGTCAAAAATGACATTTTTGAGCCTTTTTGAGCCGTAAGGCGTAAATTTTGGCTCTGGATTACTGTAGACGAAGCCAAATGAGCCATTTTGAGGCAAAAATCGTATTATTAGGTTCAGGATTACTGTAGACATGGTCAAAAATGCAATTTTTGGCATCATTCTGTGCCAAAAAACCAGAAAATCGGTCCAAGAATACTGTAGATGCTGCTCCAATTTCAAAATAGTAGGGTTTTATGGTCGTTCTAAGCCCAAAAACCATGAAATTTTGGTCCATTGGATTACTGTAGTTGGCTCGAAAATGTTCAAATTTGTCGATTTTTGGCTCAAAGTGCCTCGATAACCACAATTTTATGTTTCAAAATCGCGCTCAAACGACTTGGCAAGCTAGTTCAAGTCCATCTACAGTAATCCCTAGCTCAGTTTTCTCGAATTCCGCTTAAAGTTCGAGGATTACTATACCTGTCTCTCAGGATCAATCTACAGTAATTCTGGCACACAACTATGCTAAAAATGGCCTGTTTTAGCCAGAAAATCGTCAAAAAATGGATTTTGAGCCAAAAATCATGAAATTTGGGTTATTACTGTAGATCGGTCAATTCCATTTTTGACCGTATCTACAGTTTTTGGCTCAAAATGACTTCTGGGGTTACTGTAGATCCATTGAAAACGACAAAAATCGGCAATTTTGGACTCGAAATTGACCTAAAAACGTCGA